ACTTGTCCCCCAGCACTCCCAGCTCCTCCTCCATGGGGCTGCATTCCACCTGCACGGGTCAGGCTGTTTGTGCAAGAGATGGGTGCACACTGGGAGGTGTGGATGAGGCATCACAGAGGAGCTCCTGGAGGAGACTTGTGCCCCTGAAAACCCAGCAGGGAGGAGGCAGACTCCTGTAAAGCAGCTGAGGGGGTGACAGAGCTGGAAGAGGGCTGGGGACACTTGGGCAGAGCAGGATTTGGCCGTGCCCTACATTCAGGTGAAGGGCAGATGTTGGGGGTCCATAGCCTGATCCCTGCCTCTCTGCAGGGGGTTCCCCCCAGCTCCTCCTGCCCAGTTCAGGAGACATTTTCCTTCCCTTCCCCGGGCTCAGATGCCTTCAGAGGCCATCTCCTGTGTCCTGGTCCAGCTCCTGTGACCTGGTCCAGCTCCTGTGACCTGGTCCAGCTCCTGTGACCTGCTCCATCTCCTGTGACCTGGTCCCTCATCCCATTTCCAACCCACAGCTTTGGCAGCCTGCTTGCTGCCAGCCCCCCAGCAGCCTTTTGGGGAGGTCCCCTCCTGGGGCTGAGGGTCCCAGCTGCAGAACCACTCTCTGCTTCAGGAGCAGCACTGTTTTCTTTAGAGCTGGTGTGCCTGCAGGACGCCTGGCCCTGGGAGCTGGCCTGGAGGCTGTTCCCCAGCACGCAGTCGAGGTGGACTCAGCAGACATGACTTAATTTTTGGAACCTGTCTTGCTCTTTATCACAGCAGACAAACACCCCCTGAGCCTTGGGAAATGAGCTGCAGAACAGCAGGGCAGGGTTTCCCCTCCTGGTAACCCTGAGGGAATGTGGTCCAGCCCTTGGGGTGCCCTGGGGAGCCCGTGCCAAGGGTTTCAGGGGCAGCAGGGCCACGCTGTCACAGGGCCCCGCTGTCACCTCCTCGCGCCAGCAGTGGCTCTCCTCCTAGGTGGCCTGCATGCAGTTCATCAACATCGTGGTCCACTCGGTGGAGGACATGAACTTCAGGGTCCACCTGCAGTATGAATTCACCAAGCTGGGCCTGGATGAGTACCTGGATGTGAGTATGGGGGTGGCTCTGCTCCCCAGCCTGCCCCCGTGGTGGGTCCACACCCCCCCTCCGTGGCTCTGCCCTGCAGCCCCTCACCCCAGTGCTGGTGGGGGCACAGCAGGGCTGGCACCAGTCCCTGCAGAGCTGCCTGGGCATTTCCTGGGGCTAGCTGCAGGGCTCCTGGGCTCCTTTCAGATCCTGGAGTCCAACCATTCCCCCATCCCTGCCAGGTCCCCACTGCCCCGTGTCCCTCACCCCACATCTCCACAGCTTGGAAACCCCTCCAGGGGTGGGGACTCCACCACTGCCCTGGGCAGCATCTTACAGGACTTGACAACCCTAAAGGGCAAGAAATTGTTCCTCAGGGACAACCTCAACCTCCCCTGGGCCAACTTGAGGCCTTTTCCTCTTGTCCTGTCCCTTGTCCCTTGGGAGCAGAGCCCAACCCCCCCCTGGCTCCAGGCT